CAAGACCAAATTCTAGTCACTTCACTCCAATACCTCGCGCGACGACATTCCCCCAGACCCCTACCTCTCTCCAAACCAGCGGCCTTCCAATGCAAAATTTAAGCAACCGCTTCCACATGAACACAGCATCCAATCCAAATCTTCGACAAGGGTTTCAAGATCTCGTATCACCGAGTGATTTGTCCACTGCTGGCACTCCTGAAAGCACCGCTTCGACTAGTCATAGCATTCCACAATATGGTGTACAAAATCAATTCAATGCCAATAACAGTATACCATATCTCACAGGATTGATGTTCCCATCTACAGATCCTTTTGCATATCCAAATCAACCGATGATGGAATTCGATGCACAAATTATGAAGCAGGAAAATGATATAGATAACACCAGAGCGCAGCAGATGTATATGGGTGGTGGTGGATCGGGGACTGGAAATGGAATGTTTGATGAGTTGGAGGGACAACTTTTCGGTCCGTTACCACCTTATATGATGCAGGCCCAGCACGGTTTCGATATGTCTGGGGCAGCACCTGGAGGTGGAAACGGAGGAGTTGGTGGAGGGGGCATGGGTGGGATGATGCACGGGACCAACACGACTACGACCACGAGTGGAGCAGGGGGTACAGGATTTAATCCTCAGAATATGGTTTACAGTACTGGGATGAATTTGGACGGAATTTTCGATAATGTTGGGGGTGATACGCGGGGAACAGGGAGTGAGTGGGGTGGCATGGGAGGCCAAGGGTTTAGGTGAGAGAGGGGTTTGGATGAAACTCATCGAATGAGGACATTGTTACATTCTACCAAGTTGATTTAAATCAACAGACTGCTTCATCTTCAGCGAAGAGTTTCAGTATTGCACGGCATGGATCGGCACGGACGAATTAAACGCGGAATGGGACTATGTGGAGGCCAACTTTTCTTTGAAAGAAAAGGGTAGGAGAGAGAAAGTGATTATGATATGATTCAAGATTTCTTACTTTCTATGTCGCATGGTCGAAATTTATCAAGTGGTATATGTACGGTTTCAAAAAAATCCGAATTGGTAATGTGTAAATGATGCATTGTATTATACCTCGGGCGTCTGATTTTGATGGTGGTGGGTGATAGGGTAGGATAGGGGAGAGGGGTTCAACATACCGGATGGGATGGGATGGTATGGAATAAGATAGGATTAGCGTTATGGATATGGTTATGGATTTGGTTTATGGATAGAGATATTAGGTGTTGTACAGAGGATATGGAGTTTTGATTTTTTTTGTGATTGAATTTTGATTTTGATTTTGAGTTTGAGTTTATTAGGTGGTGGATGAATTGAATTGAATTGAAATGGAAGGATTAGAATTGTATGAAATTATCAAAATTTGAAATGTCTGGTATGGATTTTATTTGGATGAAGTTTTTGAGTTCTTTCTCTCTTCTCTTTTCTTCTCTCTTCTCCCTTTCTCGTGTTGGGTTCCCCCTCTTCCCTTTCCCTTTCCCTTCCCTTTCCCTTTTTCCCTTTCCCTTTCCCTTTCCCTTTCCCTTTCCCTTTCCCTTTCCCTTTCCCTTTCCCTTTCCTTCCTTTCCCTTTCCCTTTCCCTTTCCCATTTCCCTTTCCTTCCTTTACTTTTCCTTTCCCTTTCCCTTTCCCCTTCCTTGTTTTCCTTTTCTTTTTCCTTTTCTTTCCCCTTCTCATCTTTCTTCTCTTTTCTACTCTTCTCTTCTCTGGATTTCCCTTCACCCTCGTTCTCGTTCTCGATAGGTGTCTACATCTAATTTCAATTCCAACTTCAAATTGAGGTCTAAACCGAGATTGAGATTGAGATTTCTATATATCTTCTCTCTTCTTTTTTCTTTTTAAATCTTTAAAATATATTAATACTACAAGTAACTAGATATTAGCGATTTATATTCTGTTTTCAATAATTTCCTCCCGCTATTTTACGCGCCATTTCATTCGCTTGATATCTTATCCTCAGACTATCAAAAATTAATAAACATTAATTCTTATGCTTTATAGATATTTTATAATGATATACTTATTCAATTTCAAACTCCCAATTTCAAATTTCAAATTTTACACTCTTAGCTTTTGATTAATATATATAATAAATATGAATGGAGTATAATTAGCTTCTAATTATTTGTTATAAAGAGATGAAAAAGATTTCTTTTATATAAGTAGATGATTTACATTATTCTTTAATTTAAAGTATTTATTTGATTAGTAAAGTTTTTTTATTCAATATTTAAACAAATTAATCTTTTTCTTATAAATATTAATTATAATATTCTTGTAGGTTATATTCTTTATATAAAATTATAAGATTAATAATTATAATCGTTTTTCAAAAAGAATAATAAAAAGGATTATAGTTTTGTTTTGTATTTATTTTTGCTTTAATTGATAATTCTCAATTTGTAGAAATTTTATAAGTTAGCTTTATAAAGTATCAAAATAAGAATAATATATCTTGATATCAAAAGTATTACTAATTAGAAAAGGAAATAATTACTTCGATTTAATATTTTCGTTTTTAAAATATAATTTAATCTTAGGAAATGATATTTTTTCTATAAAGATTAAAAGAGTAAGTTACATAAAATATAAATTTGACTCACACCCCCCTGTCTAGTTGAAATCAGAGGTTTTGATTATTCGAATTACCTTATTTTTATACTGCTTTAAGAAATTTACTTAGAATCAGCAATTCAAAGTATTTCGAAGAAAACCTTAAGATCCTTTTAATACTATATACGAAAACCCTCAAAATTCATATATCGATATTATCAAAATGATTGATTATTATTATTATTATTATTAGTAATTTTCAACCGGGCCGTATAGGCGAGCCTCCCAGGGGGCATTACGGTTGGGCTAACTGCGGGATGATCTTCTAATTTACATGATCCCCCTTTCCTAGGGATGGGGTCTCAATACCCTCAGTAGCCTCCCAAGCGATGGCTAACGCACTTGCGCCTTTGTCTCCGATCCTCTGAGCGCCTCCGTGCGCGCTTTCCGATCTCCTATATAGTATTTGTTTGAAAGCTGCTTTATCCTGTAAGGGTAGCTTTTGTATACATTCTATTGCAACATGGTATGCCGCGTGCTTCAATTTTCTTCCACGTAGCTTTTCTAGATCTATCCCCTCCTACTCCCTGCTTATGTTCGCCTGGATCATCCGATCCCTTTCCTTCTCTCCAAAATGATTGATTACATATCATCAATATTACCTTCGATATTAACATCTTTACTTACTAGATCTACTATATCTTCTCCTACGTCGCCGGCGACTCCGATTCGATACGAGATGACTCGAGATCAGCGTATTGAAGCACGCGTTTTATTTAGAATAGAATAAAAAGTCAGAAAGCATAAGAAGCTATATCAGAGGATTATTTAACAGGATTGCTTAGAAGTATAAAAGACAGATGTCAGATAGTCATTAATACTAATGGTATATATACTAAATATTAATAAAATCGATTTTTTTTTCGTTCTTAAGAGATTCTCTACAATACTTTCTCTAGCTAGAGTTTATTATATAAATTTAAAAGAAGCGTAATATTTTAATTAGCTAAAACCCCTATATGTAGAAAAAAGCTCGAGCTCGCTTTAGTATATTTTATAATACTTATGCCTTTAATCTTCGTAATTATATAATCTTTCGTATCTGTTTAGATATTTCATTAGCTACTAATAATAATCTGACTAGTAGGGTTCTCTATTTTTGTAAATATATATGCATCGATCAGACATGTCAGCACTTCTAGATTGAATTCTTACAGACTTTCGGCAAATTTCTCTTCTTCAGAAATCCGATTCGATCTTGTGGGATAATTCCCTTAATGTCTTACTTTCTATAAATCAATACTCCACTCGCTTACGTACGGTGCTTCGAACTTGTATGCGTTGTTAGTGCGTCGGCCTTGTGACAGAAAAAATATGTGCCTGATTATTGCCTGCACTACTGCATAAGCATTTTCGTAATTGCCGCATCTAATCTCGGTTATTAGTATGCTTACTAAAGTGACATTAAAGTTCGTTGACCTATGCTCTTTCTCTTTATCGTAGCCATCTCTGCATTCTTCTACACTCTATTTCCATCTCCATCTCCATCACACAACAATACCTTTCGCCATCTTTCGATCCCTCCATCTCCATCACACAACAATACCTTTCGCCATCTTTCGATCCCTCAATCCCTCCATCTCCATCACACAACATCTATTACAGATGAGAATCTGTCTGCTGCTTAAAACAACCCCGCCCGTGGTAGTCCTTTAGCAATTGCTGCTTAGAACAATCCCGCTTGTGGTAGTCCTTTAGTAGCAATTGCTGCTTAGAACAACCCCGCCTGTGATAGTCCTTCAGCATTGCTTAGAACAACCTGCGGCCGCAAGTGGTAGTCCTTTAGCAATTGCTGCTTAGAACAATCCCGCTTGTGGTAGTCCTTTAGTAGCAATTGCTGCTTAGAACAACCCCGCCTGTGATAGTCCTTCAGCATTGCTTAGAACAACCTGCGGCCGCAAGTGGTAGTCCTTTAGCAATTGCTGCTTAGAACAATCCCGCTTGTGGTAGTCCTTTAGTAGCAATTGCTGCTTAGAACAACCCCGCCTGTGATAGTCCTTCAGCATTGCTTAGAACAACCTGCGGCCGCAAGTGGTAGTCCTTTAGCAATTGCTGCTTAGAACAATCCCGCTTGTGGTAGTCCTTTAGTAGCAATTGCTGCTTAGAACAACCCCGCCTGTGATAGTCCTTCAGCATTGCTTAGAACAACCTGCGGCTACAAGTGGTAGTCTCTCAGCACCTACTGTTCAAAACAACTCCAATCCCAACACAATCTATATATCAGATTTTGTGGGACTATTTCTACACCTCGTTTCTTCCAAGAGTCAAGGCTGCTCTATAGCCTGGGTGGGTTGGGAAGCACACATAAAGTGTGGGCTAATATTGCTCTCAATATAATTGTTGTTTTACTATATTCATTGCTAATTATGGTCACAGGAATAAATTATGCCAAATCCAACTGAGATCCTGATTGAGAAACTTGAGCTCAAACTTCTCTTTCGCGAAAGAGTATTTATAAAATGGGAAGATGAATCGGGTACACCTTGGACACTAGGCTCTCGTCCGAATCGCAACAAGCAAAACCTCAACTTTTTTATGGGTGTATATTATGATATAAAAGGAAACATCCATATCCACTTTTCTATTACAATATCTGTCACAATTGCAGGCAGAAAGCGGAAAATGGAGATGTTATTCATTGTTCCTCCAGATGCCGACTTTGCAAATACTTCTAAGCCTCATCTAATATCGGATATCGATGATTTATCTCGACTCGATGCTTCTGCTATTCACGAAGCCGAAATCAGTCATTCAGTACATATCATCTGCATACAATTCAATTTAACTACGAAAGGGTTTGTCGTCATAAAGAAGAAGGACACTAACACACCTCTTAAGCCTCGGGGTATCATTTCAACGAAATTGATTTGTGGTCTTGAATCTCTATCTAATACGAAGACATTCACTGTATATATCAAGCCAAATGATTATGCATTGATGGGCCTGGAAGATCTTCGTAATCGCCTGAGCAACACTAGTATTCCCATCGATATACCCAAAATCAATATGAAGGAAATATACATTCAACACACACCTGAGTTGATGGAATGGAAGGGACGTGACCCAATATCACTACCACCACCATATACTGAGAATCCTCGGCTATCTTCGAAAGTACAGGTTCCCCTACCACCAATCATTTCCGAGGAAGTGCGGGTTCCTGTATCGCCGCCAATCATTTCCGAGGAAGTGCAGGTTCCCGTATCTCCGCCAATCATTTTCGAAGAGGCAACGCCATTGATTAATACTATCGAAGCAGCGATTCCAGAAACACCAGCTCGAACCCCAACTAGTCCTACCTCTACATCGTTGCATGGCATTTTCTCTCCTAGCCATGAAGAGTTGTCAGGTAGTCAAATCAGCTTGAACGATATCGAAGAGGATTCGGAACATATCGAGATGAACTTTGATGTAGATTCGGATGAGGAACAACTCGCTATCCTCAACTCTCGAGAATTAAATCAGCAATTAGATAATGATTCAAAAGTGACGCAAATACTTAATTCAAAGTTGTCGATATGGATGCGAACATTTATACGAATAAATCCAAATGTTCACGAACACAAACGCTTGACTATCAAGTTATCAGTTCTTGGTCGTTGCATTCGTATATCAAATGTTAAAGTATTTGATGCCACTTTACTCTGGTGCTCTGCGCTACTTTTCTACGATCCTTTCGATTCTGATCCTGATAATATCTTCGGATTATGGGAGAAGAGAAATTCTTGGCTTATTTCAGATATAGCTAGATTGATTCAATGGGCTAATAGAATTCATCATGGTGTGGAGCTAAGTTCGTTGTTGAAACATTTTATGAAACTGGGTGATGCTGCTCGTACTGTTGCTCTGGATACTAGATGCACCAAAGACAAGTATTATGATCAGAAAAGTGATTGTATTGTTTGTGTGTTGGCGGAGTTTAGCAAGCTGGGTAATGATAGTGGCGGTAGTTGTAATATCAGTAAAGAGAGCAAATCTCTTTCTCGAACAAGCTTGGGGGGGAGGGACAGCAGTGCGTCTAAACGAGTAAAAATGTAATTTAGTGTATGAACAAAGGTTGAATGAATGGCCTTGACTCATTCATAGCCTGTATCAAAGGATCTGTTGATCGAATTTCTCTTTAAAGGTCAGGTCGTTATGGTCGATTAGATAATCGGTGTCATGATATATATACGGGGAGATTCCTCTTTGGCTTCGGATGGATGTGGGAAGACTGCTTTTATTGTTTTTCTCCTCAAGATTGAAATATCTTGAAAGACCGATACTTTGACAAATCATGATTGTGGTAAGATTTTTGCATGTCAGGGAGAGTGTGATTGATAACCCTTCGTTATGTTTTTGTGGAGATCAATACTGTATAGTTTGTATTCATTAAGCCTCTCAATACTATTCACATCAAATTCTAACTCTCTAAAAGCTCTTGAATATATTTCCAATACTATCTTATTCGAATGGAGTCTATAGGCACATCTTACGTGCTTCCTTAGTTGGTTAATTACTTCTGATATATCGTATATCTGTATATTATTATGCGATGCCCATGATGAAGAGCGGGCGGGGGGGCCAGGGGGGGAGGGGGGCTTACTTTGACGACTCCTGAGGACTATAAAAAAAATCCCAAATGAATTCTTTCCAAACCCTGCAGGTCGTCCTTTGATTCCAAGTTTCTTGAAGAACTTATCATACATATCTTGTTACTATTGTGATTCCAATCTCTACAAGGTTAGTATGATTAGATACTTGTTTGAGCATTGCTATCTTCCAGCCTTGCCCTTGCGAAGTTTGAGTTTTTTCTGCAATTATCTGTTCAATTATCACATCAATCCTGCGTTAAATCATAGTGATTACTGCACATCTTTGAGAGGCCAGAAGGGCGTTGAAGAAGAAAAGTAAAGTGTAGATGATGTGGTGCGTGGCGAGTGATAAAAACTATTCGTGCCCTACGGAGGTACATGCCCTAATTTTTGTCTCACCGCATTTAAAGTCAAGAATTAATTTGTGAGCAAAATGATTTGATCGATAGTAAGCTCAAGGCGGTGATTTTTTTTAAGAAAAATCTTTATATTTTATATAAATAAATATATATTAACAAAAATATATTTTAAATATTATAACGTAATGTATGGGGAACTCGGACATATGGGGAACTCGGACAGGTACCTTTACACCAAATTTTGTATGTAAAGGTACTTAGAGCGAATTTTTATATCTCTAGAAATACTATTATTATTATTATTATTAGTAATTTTCAACCGGGCCGTATAGGCGAGCCTCCCAGGGGGCATTACAATTGGGCTAACTGCGGGATGATCTTCTAATTTATATAATCTCCTTTTCTTAAAGATAGGATCTCAATACTTTTAATAACCTTTCAAGCGATGGCTAGCACATTTATATCTTTATTTCCGATTCTTTGAATGCCTTTATATACACTTTCCGATCTTCTATATAATATTTATTTGAAAGCTGTTTTATTCTGTAAGGGTAGCTTTTATATACATTCTATTGTAATATAATATACTGTGTACTTCAATTTTCTTTCATATAGCTTTTCTAGATCTATTCTCTTTTATTCCCTATTTATATTTGCTTGGCTCCACCCCGAACAATCTAAGACCCGCACCGACCAGCCATACACGCTCCAAGCGCACTCCCGATCGATAGCGATCGATCTGATTATTTGCTGATATTCGGATGATATACAAAATAAGATTCTTTGAAAAAGGATTACAAATCTTCAGACAAAATAGTTATAGGATTGCTACAAGCAATACTGAATAGAGGAACATTAAAGACAATAAACTTTTGATTAGTTAATATTATATTATTATAAGCGGTAGGAATGTTAGTAGTCTGTAGGCCTACTCCTTAGTATGTTTAGAATACCCTTTGGGAGGTCAGACATTAGATGTTAATCACTATAAATAAATAAATAAATAAAATATATTTGCTTGGATCAATTGATTCCTTTTTTCTCTTTTTCTATTCTTCTAATAGTATTCTAGGACATATATTTCTATAGAAGTTTGTTATAATAATAAATTTAGCGAATTTGGTTAGTATATACATTAACTGTTTTAGTAGTCGTTTTTGAACTGCTTGATTATAGAATGAATATTTAGACTTGATATCTGGGGGCCAGGTTTTATAGATCGCGAGGATTTTGCGGTAATGTATAATATACTCAGGGGATTTGAATGCTCCACATAAGCAATGGATTATTACTTCCTTGTATTTAAATTATTGGTGGTAGCTTTTGAAGTCACTATATGCTGAGCAGATCGCTAATATATAGTAGAGAGTTGCTTATAAGAATTCTAGTTTCTTAGGGTATTTGTTTGTGCTCTTTAGATTCCATTTCTGGTATTGTTTGAAGAGCGTTAATATCTGTTTGATTTATTATACTTATGCTGTCGATTTCATAATGGTTTTTGTTATAGAACGGATACTGCTTGCTATAGATCGGTTTATATATTCTGAGGCTGATCTTCTTGTTTCTTTATTAGCAAATATATCTGCTCGCTCATTCCTCTCGATCCCTATATAACCTAACGACTATTTGATTTGAATCAAATATGTTTATATTAGTTTATAGCATTTAAGAAAGGCTTATTACGATATAGTAAAAGCTATACCTTTTATTCCTTATATTATCGATATACTATCAATGTATATACAGATTTCTATTCGTTTTATGCCAATGATATTTCTGATTACTGCTTGAAAGCCTCGGTATACCCCGATTGCTTTTATATTAAATATATAAGAGTTGTAATGCAATCTATTGTTTTCTTTGTATACTACCATTTGTTCTTTATATATGATATATTCATATCCTACTCGCCTATTATCCTTATTAATCTATTCTAATCTATCAGAGAATATAATGATCTGATTATATATACATTTGTTCTATCATTCTTAAAACTACTCTATTATTATCTTTTTCGTAAGGCCTCTAATAAGATCTATTCAATACCCTGGTATATAATAGGGCTCTGCTAAAATCATCTCCTCGATTCGGGGGAAAACACTAACTGATCATCTGGACCTTTATTCTGGCTAGCTGTAATTAGCCTTTCCTATTACCAGAGGAATAGGTGGCTCTTATCCTTCAATAATAAAAAGGGTATTTTGAATTAATAGTTTGGGTATAAAGAGCTGTTCTCCATTTTATTTATTCTAATACTACTTCTACTAATAGAAGAGCACTATCCCCTTATCATCACTATATTCAGGATTGTTCGCCAGACTGGGAGGACTCCTCTAATCGCTATTTGTAGGATCTTATTGATAACTAGAATCGCTTCTTTTAATCAGGCACTCACTATCATTAGTATCCCGTCTCGATGCTGTCCAGTGGTTTTGTTTGTCCTGCATACCATACCTCTGCCCCATAGAATAGAGCTGGGTATAAGCAAGCAGAAATGAATTATATTATAACTACTTTCTAGAATATATTATAATACAAAATAGGTTCGCTACACCTACAAACGCTTTCCCGGTTCACTTGTGATAAAGCTACTAGTACTAGGCTTCTATAGAATCTTTTGACTATATTAAACCATTTATTGTATGATTACCTTCGGAAGTTCTGGCTAGAATCAAAAACTATTCCTTTACACCTTTATTCCTGTTTGCTCCTTAAGTCTATCTGATACCTTCATTATGCCCTCTGCCCTATAGTATCCGATTATAGACCGATATACATATCCGTCCTCTCGAGCCATATAGACAGTATCGCTGTTACTATTATTATATACTATGTTTTGCGGTTAGTAGCCGTTTTGCATTATCTTGCCGAATCTCTCCTATACAATAAGACCGATTATATCTTGCAGGCTTGCTATTTCAGATCCCTAGTCAGACAGCTTTCTATAATGTTTCCAACCTACTAATCAAAGCTCTATTTATAAAATCTATTTCCTTAATATATAATTTGTAATTGAAAGTAGAGCGCTAGGAGTGCGTTACATATGTATATCGTAGGATTGGCCTCTGCCTGAGATCCTCTGTTGCTATAATACCGATCAAGTATTATCGAGTATAGCTTATTAAAAGTATTCTTCCTATATCGAAGCTCCTTCGCTATCATATCGCTTCCACATACTCAAAGATAAGGTACTAAAAATATCCCTCCTCCTATTCTATATATACTCCTGCCAGCTCTAGTAGACATTATCCTAATCTTTGTATATTTCCTATTACTTTTTTTATTATTTATAAATATCTGATTCAATATATCCACAGATCATATATATTGTTAAATTGTGAAAACTCTATACACTAGCGCTTCAGAGGTGTTCTATCGATTTTTGTTTGTTAAATTAAGGATATCAGTCCTATTCCTAATACAAGCTTCAATCAAACTCAACTATATTATAGAAATTTCATTATTTATTATTTCAAGAACTAATTCTGTTTTACAAACACTCTACTACAATATATTCTAACTCTATTTTCCATATAGATTCGTAAAAGTATAATTCCGTATTAATCCTATTCTCATTTCTCTTCTATTTTGGGCGGCTCAAGAACGACTACTGAAACAGCTAATGCACACACCAGCCAAGTTCGCTGAATTTATTGCTATAACAGACTTCTACAGGAGCATATGCCCTAGAACGCTACCAGAAGAATAGGAAGAGGAAATGGAAATGGATTGACCGATCCGGGTGAACACAAATACAGAATAGGAGGCGATCGATATAGCAAGGCTATAAAGAACAAAATCGATATATGCAATACACTGCGCTGCACTAGAATATATACAAAAGCTACCCTTACAGGATAAAGCAGCTTTCAATCAAAACATTATATAAAAGATCGGAAAGCGCGCACGGAGGCGCTCAGAGGATCGGAGACAAAAGCGCAAGCGCGCTAGCTATCGCTTGGAGGCTACTGAGGGTATTGAGACCTCATTTTTAGGAGAGGGGGATCATGTAAATTAGAGATTATCCCGCAGTTAGCCCAACCGTAATGCCCCCTGGGAGGCTCGCCTATACGGCCCGGTTGAAAATTACTAATAATAATAATAA